ATTTCATTCCCATTCATTTTTAAAGATGCTTCTTCATATAAATGGTCATTATGATTGCGATGAAAATAATGACTTAATTATTTTTTTCACGTACAGAATGTGATTTATATCTTAGAAGATAAAACATTCGTCAGTTGAAAAATTACTTCTAATGAAATGAGTGACATATTAGATTTAGAAAAAATGGTATTCTGATAGTATTTTTATCCTTAATATAAATAAGCAATCTATTCTATTGTAAATAGATAATAGAAATAAAAAAAACTGGAGCAGTCTACTCTTTGTCTGTCTATATTTTTGCCAGTAACAGACAATAGAAGAAATGACTATCTCCGATTTTGTACCACGAATCTCTATCGATCGAGCAATTGACGGAGGGGAAATAAGTCGCTGTGATTTCCGATCAACTTGTTGCACAAAGAAGCGAATACACCTAAGTCCCAAGTGCTCACTCTTTTCGAAACAACAGGTAATGTACAGTACAGTCAATGGCACATTATAGCTTCACGCGACCCAGGCGAATTTGAATCAGGGGACCCTAAGTACAGCGTTGACTTCAGACATTTTTCTCAGAGGAATGTTTCGGAAAATTATTTTCTTATAAAAGGTTGGTTTGGGGCACCCTGTTGGCGGGGCCACAGGCAATTGCCCTTTTAGCCCCATAGAATAACCCGCCACTGTGTACGGTCGATAAAAACTGTCGGATCTTTGTAGTGGAAGAGCATCTGAGAATCCCAATTGTGTGCTTCATGTATATTATCCACGATTGTAAAAAAGAAAAACAGCGAATGCGACTTTGGTGGCGCTTCGAGCAGGGGATAGTCGGGCCGAGAAGGGACGTGTATAGAAGGCGGTCGCTATCAGTGAAAGGCAGACGCGGGCTGCGGCCGGTCGATTTGTCGCGGCCACGGACGTAAATGTTAATGTCAACACTTATCCGGCATTTATCTCCGGCAGCCACGCGTCTCGGGGGACGTTGGTTGCCGTTCCGCCCGCCTTTCCTCTTTACTAGAGCTTTCGTCAACGCTGCGGTCTTTTGTTATCCCGTCGGCCGTCTCGAGATTGATAGTTCCGGGATTTACGCCTTCGGTCACGTGATGAAAGATTCTCGAAACTCATTCCGCTGACGAAGTCAGAGAATGATCAATCCACGTACTCCACGGTTACCGCAAACTTCTATCCGGATAATTCTCGTTCTCTCCCGCCGAAAAGCTACCCACTCCACAGAAAATTGAGACATTTTCTCGGATGGAGACCGAAAAGAAAAAAAAACCCCAAAAAACAAAACTAATTACTTGCAGAATGGTGCACGGGATTCAAATATCACTTTTTTCCCCTTATCGAAAGACGCAATCAACAAAACAAACTGTTTTTATTTTATAAAACCTCAGTACGTAGGCCTACAATATTTTAAATAACTTAATTTGTCGCAGTTCAATGTTAATTTTATCAAAACATTATTTAAAATGTAAAACACTTTTCATATCCAAAGATATGGCTGAGGACAAGTTACATTCAGACTGAATGGCGAAATTGTTAAGAGTCCAGGTTTAAATTTGTTTCAAAGTTTTATAATTTTTTATTTGTAGTTGGCAGTTTCCGTTTGTTATCCCCATTAGGAACAATGGACATGTAACCTACAAATTACTGAAAGTCAATTGTAAGAATCCAATTTTGAAAGAGTTATAATTAGTCCCTATTGCATTTTATATGTTTTAAATTTGAAAAAAAGATTTAATAATTTACAATACAGTAACAGCTTTTTTGTAATTAAATTTTGAATGACTTTTCTGTAATCAAGAAATAATAGAAGTAGACGTGAAATTCAATATAGAACAACCTAATTTTCATGTTTAGATAATTGATAAATTAATAATAAGATCGATATGAGAAGAAATTGCTTTAAAAAAACACTGTTTTTTTAAAGCAATTTCAAGCATCGTACATATAAATGGGACGATGACATTAAATAAAAAATTTGGTAATATTTCGCACGCTTAAATATTTCGAAAATCATTGACTTGATAATTAAAATATTATAAAATTAATACATTCGAATTTCATATTAAAAGTTAATTTGAAAATATAATAGGTATTCACTAACAATTCTTACACGCTTGCTTTTTAATTGATGTGAGCTTCACTTCTCTTATAATTATTACGTCGTAATTCTGAATTATTTTCTAGTCTTTATCCTCGATTCCATTTTATTCCGTAAAATCATTAATGATACTCGTTCAAATCTGTACATGTATTCCATAGTTTCTTAAACTTTTATCGTGTTACAAGGAATTATGCCATAGAATCGTGTACGATATGATGTCTGTCGGAGTATAATTGGCTACGTATGGTTTACTTTGAAGTAGTTGTATATGAAATCGCTGACGATTTCTGTCATGATATTTGACACGGGATTACTTGAAATAAATCCTGAAACATAGTTCCATAGAGTTTATTCAAGAGGCTATTAACAGTAAACTTTATACGTTTAGTAACGGAGCATTTAAATAAATGAAGTATTAAATATGGACTCATTCATTTAATAAATTTATTCTATATGTTGTAAGTCTATATAGGTTTATTAAATGTATTATAATAAATATTTATTGACTTTTATGTAAAATAGCACTATAAACGTTAATATTATGTGACATTAAATGGATGTGTTACGGTTTAAACAATTATAAAATTATTTAGAAATAATACCAAAAGTGAAGATTAAACTTGTTTCAATTTTAATCCAAATAAACAAATAAATGCATTTACAAAATTTACAAATGAATTTTTATAAATGCATAATATTAATAATATTATAAATATTATGCATCCACAAAAATAAATTAATTATAACACTTATAAAGATGTATGAAAAATAAACTTTAAAGAAGAATTATAATTAATAAAACATTAATTCGTGGTATCTCGAACATCGTTAAGTCAATAAGTATATAATAAAATTTATAAAAATATTTATTACTGTATTAAAATTAACTTATATTCTTAATTCTGATTTTCTTCCATCAGCGGTTTTATATTATTCAGTTATTCTTCAAAATTGTTATATAGTTATTCATATTCATCTCAAGCAAGTGTAGTCTAATAATAACAATTTGCAAATTATCGAAATCCGGATTACAATCGTTTTCTCCTCATTACAAGTGCAAATCGACAATTGAACGGTACTTTATAAATTCTTGTATTTAATGATAATCGAATAGAATTAATTAATTATAATATATATGTTAATATTTCATTGATTAGCTTTTAGCGTTTTGCTGAATATAAAATCGACGAAAATGTTTGCAACTGTAGAGTTCCATCTCACAATTTTGACAATTATAGAAAAACTTTCCAACATTATAATAATTCTTAGGATTTTTTTTAACATTTTTGGATCTCACAATCTTTATCTTAGAAGAATGTAATTTTAATTTTTGATTAAATTGATTAATCGGTAATTATTTTGTTAAATCTGGACCTTCACGTTAGATCAAATGCATTATTTGACTTACTTAATCCAAAAAAGGACCAATTTTTTAAAAAATTTGTTTGTATATTTATATATATCAATTGAACTATTTTAATATGCTTTGCTTCCTTAATTAATTAATATAAAAATTGAAATTGAATCATTAATAATTTTAATGAAAGTTAAATTTTTTTACGTTCTTAAAAATAGTAATTTTTAAAATTATCAAAATCGATCGCGAAATATTTGAATGGTTTCTTTTTATTTTCCTATCTAATGAATGAAATAAGATACGTTCAGAACTGCTTTATATATAAGTTTTCCCACGGAAGACGACGTGTTCAAGGATAAAGTACTAACATAAGAAGATTAAACGCATTGGTTAAATAATTTCTTCGTTTGAAATCAATAACGATTGTAACCCTTCGACGGATGTAATATTTTATTGCATAATAAACATCAGATAATATATAAAACAATTTTTTTTTCTCTTTATGTAATTCTTGATTTTTTAAAAATTTAATATGTATTTTATATACATATGAAATTTTAAAAAAATCATCTCATATTAATGCAATCAAACATTCGATAACTTCTGTTCTTGTCATGCAATCGATCGTGGTAAGTTTGCTCTTCTCTTATTTATGGTGTATGATATTGTGCAGGATATTTGTCGTTTACGACGAATTATAGTCATATTCTTCCTGTTATATTCTACTTATTATAGAACTTTATATTTATTGTTTGTAGTAGTTTATTGTCTTAATTTTATTTTACTAAATTCATTCGTTATTGGATCGTGTATTGTTGTGTTCTTGATGTATTGCACTTAGTATAGTAAAATAAGTTTAATAAAGCCAAAAAGGTAAGAATAAATTTAAAAAATTTATTATTTATTAAATGTTTGTTCTTGGCATACGCAATAGATAACATTCAGAAGAACGAAAAATATAAATAAAAAAATATTCAAAACCTTATAATGAAATAACCGGAGTGTCATCTACAGCCTAATGTATGGTCATTTTTACATATGCTTATTATTTTAATTTTCTGATTCGAATCGATAGCAGTATTATAAAATTATACAGAAAATATCTTTACGGTTTTACTAAAATATTTACGTAACTCTAACGTTGCGTAATTTGGATTTACGTAAATCGGAAATTGGTTGCACACAAAAATGCTAATTAAATTTTCTCTTTATACATATAAAATGCACGTGGACTAATTAATGATTAACACAAAAACTTTCGAATGAAAACAAATGTTATTTTTGAAAAATAAATAATAATCGAATGAATATTTATTTGCGTTAAACCCAATTGGCCTCTTTTCCCGAACCATATATGGCTTCAATCGTTGCCAGAATACTCTACATATTTATACGCCCATCCCTAAAATACGAGTCGGGTCTACTCATACCTAGTAGGAAAAAAAATTGGAAACATTCTTTTGTACGAAGCAATTGGAATCGAAGATTAACATTTCGTTCTCTTTCCTCCTCCACTAACTGTTTTTATTTTTTCGACAGGAGAAAGAAAATTATAGTTGTATCCGGAAAGGACCAGATGAGCACTCGGACCGGAACTGGAAGGTCGAAGAGCCCGCTCCTCGGCTATTTGCTGCTGACGGGACTTTTGTGGGCCCAACGGGTCTCTTCCGACCCGCCGCCTACTGGTAAGTTCTTATCGTCTCATTTTCATATGTCGCGTTTGATTAACGAATGCCGAATTTCGTTCTCGATGATATTTACTAAAAGTAAAGATGAGAGAAAAATTATTTTTATATTTTAATTATTGTATTTATTCAGATAATCTATTTAGTGACAAAATACACTTCAAAAGGGAGAATAAATACATTAATAATAATTATTAATTGGTACAATACAATATTGTGTTGTTAATATTATTATTAAAGGTCAAAAGTTAAGAAGGTAACGTGATACAACAGTCACTAAAGTTGAAGAAGTGTAATAAACTTATAGATCACTCGATGTATACGGTTTCTCTCGAATAAAACACTCATTATTACCGGTTGTCCGAGAGAGGAAAAAAAAAAAAAGTAAGAAATTAACTTTTGTATCTTTATGCAAAATGTTTCGATAAGATTTAAAGATAAATCTAATTTGTAAACTTTCGTAATATATTCTTAAAAATATTTTTTGGTTATCCAATGATTAAAACCGAAGGAAAATAGTGCAATGTTTATCCTCGCACCGGTGAATAGAAGCATTTGTTTCTCTGTCCGCAAGAGTCACGTGACGGTTAGTTTCCGAAGCCGAAATTCGATACGCGTCGAAAAGGTCGCTCGCCTCTCAGCAGGAAGAATAACCAGTTGGTGCTTTGCTCGGCGTAAACTTTTGTTTTTATTACTACGAATCAGAGATTAGTAATTTTGTAAGTTGCGCATATCACAACATGTTACGTAAATAGAGAAGTTTGTCGTATGTTTCGCTTTCATCGATTGACCTCGGAGTTTTCGCCACTTTACTGTTTTTCCAATGCTCGGATCGAAGGTCGCGCCGAACGACCTCCGAGGTTTCGGACGTATCGGGTTACGTTTTCTCTGAGAGACGACCGCAAGAAAACGCTTCTTTGTTTCGAGCATTTCCCCGAACTCGGACATCGAAACAACGTGTCGAATTTCGGACATGGCCTCGAGGTAGATCTGCGGTCAACTCAATGTTATATCCATTAGAAAAATGTGTTTCGACTCATTTGGAGGTCGTTATTTCGAGGTCTCTCTTTGATCATCAAATTATGCCGAATCCGTATGATCTAGTCAATTCTACTATACGTTTTCTATTCTTTTTTCGTAAGCACGTTTTCTTTCTTACAGTTTTCAATAATTACAGAGGAAGAGACGCTAAATTACTATTTATTCGAAGATACACTTCATTACTGATTACATGTGTTAAATTTCTTTCGATAGATCATTCTGGAGAGATTTTAGAATGGAATCGTATGAGAGCTTCAATCTCCGCAAGGAGTAAAGGACGTACTTATCGGATCCACTCGACCGCGGTTAGCTTTCCTCAATCAAACGTATGAGAAACATAGAGGCTCTTTATTTCGTCGGAAGAGATAAAAAGACACTCTTAACCTTTGTTTATTCTACAAATTTCACGTTCTCCAAACATTATAGAATCGGATACTTTTCATCGATTGTAATTTGACAATTAGGATAAAATTATCAATGATTATCAAGTAAAGGGTTTTATCGCTCTTCTTGGATAGAAGTTTGCTCAGTTACTAGTCTTTCATTTAAATATTAAAAATATATAAAGCGAAATGTGTGAAACATGCCAAAACCGTACGTCGCTGAACAATGAAACTCTGTATTCTATTTATAATGCAGAAAGTGAAGAAAACACACTCGATTCAATATAATTAATTGTTTTATTTAATAGCTTTGAGTCTCTGCAATTCGTATTGATGACTGAAACCAAAAAAAAAAAAACGAAAATGATTCTCTTTAGTTTTCAAATACTTTCGACTAATTAAAATTTGGAAATGAGTGCATAATTAACAATTTGGGTTTTTTTTAAATTTATTTTTGTATTTAATTTGTTTATTAAGATACTTCAGTAAATATATTGTTTTACATGTTACCATTTTCAGAAAAAAAATATTTTTTTCAACTTTATTAAACTCATTTCATAGAGGTTAGTTTTGTCAACGAAACACGATGGGAAATTGCAAATGGCATGTGCAGTTGACAGTTGTTAAAACAAACATAGATCAAATATAAAATATAACATTATTAGTTTTGTAAAAAGCAAAAGAAAAATCATACAGCATGTGAAATCAAAATTCATTCTTTAACTTTAATAACAATACATTTAAAACTTTAAAGGAGCTAAGTAGAATAATGTTTAAGGCATTATTCTGTAAGTAAAATTACAGTTATCAAAGACTATACTTATGCAAGTATTGTTTGACAATTATTATTTGTTACTAACTGCAAATATTTTTAAGACACAACTATAAACCTTTAGTTATAGATTCTCTCAATAGTTGAAACCTAAGTAGTTCTATCAGTAAATTTGTCAATGAGCATGTTTATCGACTTAAAGACCTATAAAAAAATCAATTAATAACAAATTATTTTAACTAATTTTTTGTTTTATAAACAATTGTTTATAATTTATTACTTTGTATTTGAATATGAGAGCTGAGTACAATACGTACTGTACAGAACAATCTCTAACTACAGCATTTTCAAATAGTATTCTTTCTATTGATAAGCAATCGGAAAGAAAATTAAAATATTAAAATACCTCATTCAAATATTATATTTCGAATAAAATTTTTCACTTTAAAAATTTTTGCTCGTTAAATCTATCTGTATTGGATAATTTAAGGAATACTGTATTCTATTATGTATGGAGTTTTTTCTCCTAAATCTGCATAATTTCAACACTTTTAATAATTCCAATAAAGGTAAATAATCATTTTTATAAAATATAACATGTTATCTTGACAACTAAAAAGGATATCTCTCATGATACTACTATTTATGACGAATGAAACTTGATACCTGAACCATAATGGAGGTTGACCGGCCGTGCGCTTAAGGTGTTCGATAACAGCTCTGGAGAACAAGGAACGGATCCGGACGGGTCGAAAAATCCTAAGAATTTTTCGGGGGTTGGTCTGTCCCAAATATGTCGAGCCCATCTCTCGTCATCCAGCTGTTCCCATTAGTGGCACTGGCCGAATTCATAATGAATAATTAAAAGAGCCCTCTTAGTTTCTTACGAGTTAATCCATATGGAGAGTTAAATTTTTTTTTTTTTAATTTCAATAAAGGTTTTAATAAAAGTTTTTCGATTAACTAAATAAATTTTTCAGAAAAATAATTTTATAAAAGATAAATTTCGAAAATTTCTAAAATTTTCAACAGGGCAACTGTACTTTGATGAATAAGTTACCTCCATGTGACTTGTTAATCATCCGAAACTCATTACATTCTCTATTCCAAATCATAATTTATTCGTAATTAAATTCATTAAATTATAAATAAGTAAAATTCACTTAAATTTTTACTTGTATCATTAATAAATTTTTAAATGATTAATTAAGAAGTGCAATTTATTAAAAAGTTCAGCTATGCTGTATGATAACAAAAATCAATTCGCTCTTGATGAGTTTGAAAATGCTTTTTGTAAGTTTCAATTTTGTTATGAACTCATTGCACAAAGATTTTTAGAAACATTGGGGATAAATAGACTTGAAAAATAAGCAATATTTTAAAGTTTACAGGAGTTTTTATTTTATCAAGATTATAAGATATACGCCAGAAGAGAAGACAAGTTAAAATCTTGGTATTTAGCCAAGATTTTTCTTTTAACTAAAATTATGAATGGTTTGAAGAGAAGTTTGGCTACGATATTCTTATTTGTACATAGGATCGTATATATAATATATTAATTCAAATATCTTTCTTATTAATTCTCTTGAAAAACCTACTTGCATTGATTAAATATCGTATTTATCGTATTTTTACGATCACAAGCTACAATCTCTGTAAGTGCTTATGATCATTATCTTTTTGATCCCAAAAAATAGCGATCTCAGATCATTATCTTGTGATCACTATCGTTCTGGCCATATACCTTACAATATGTTGGTGCTTGTGTTAGTTAATCAATCAATCAGTCTGTCATTTGAGGTTAGACTTTGCCATGCTTGCAACCACATTCTAAACTCTAATTTCACAATATAATTTTACAATTGCCCTTGTAATTGGAATATTGTTAACAAATTTAGTTTCATCAATCATCTAAGTGCTGCTGATTACAAATTGAACAACGATATCAATCGTTGTTAGGCACATTGACAATTTAAATATTTTTGTGTATGGAAATTATTCTAATTTCTTATTTTCATAATAATTTTAAAAAATATATTAGAATATGAATTTTTTTCTGTTGTAATATCGCTTTAAATGTTCTGTTTTTTAAACAAATGAAATGGTTTACTATTTGTATGAAGTATACTTTTACTCGAATAACGTTAGTGTTATGAATGATTTTACAGATGATGATACCGTCCTTGTTGAATTATATTCAACAATTATGAATCCGGGTAACATCTTGTTGAGAATAGAATTACATTACAAATATTGAAATTAATATCTCGTTTCATATCTTGTAAATCTATCTCCTAATGTAGGCGGTTTTTGCAGATGTTTTAATAGGAATACTGTTTCCCTATATAAAAAGAAGAGAAAAATCTGTTTATAACTAATGTCTTCATTGTTCTGTCAGTGATCATTACAAAAATCAACGTGGTATATCCATTTACTCCGTTAAATAAGTTAAATATTTATTTAAAAAATTAAATAATAGAGAAATATTTCAGATAATTTAAGGTTATAGTTCAAATTACATGCCCTTTCAATTAGCTACAAATATAAATGAATAGTAATTGTAAGAGATGAATATCATCATGACTTCATTAAAATAAAAAGAAAGTTTTATATGTAACTATATAGGCCTATGTTACATATAGGTCAAACTGTAAATTTTTACATTACATATTAATTTACAACTAGTTTATGTGATTAATTATTAAGTTAACTAGAGCTTATGCAATTAGCTATAGCTCAATAAAGGTTTTTTTAGTTATTTTTCATCATATTTAGAGAAGGAAATAAAATTTAGCATATTTCAT